CCCATCTATTTTGCCAACTCAATGTACCTTCAAGACAGGTTGAATTTTTCTCCTGAGCTCAATCTCTTCTGTTTCGAAATATGAAGAATACAAACACATGCTTAATTATGTTCAAACTTCTCAGAATTTTGAGGTGGGTGAGAGATGAAGAAGAAAGAGCAGCAAAATTGAAGGAGGGTGACATAAAATGCATAGTTTTGGACATTTCTGGTAATTAACTGACTCAGCTGCATTCTGAAATTTTCATTAAAAATTTCATCTCACAACAGATCATATAAGAAGGCCCTCAACATCATACTCAGCTGATTTATTTCTTGTAATTGTTTCAGCTGTTACAGCAATAGACGCAAGTGGAATTGATGCTCTTCTGGAACTCAAGAAGGCCCTCAACAACAGATCACTCCAAGTAAGAGAACCTTATATCATCAAATAGCATCAGTTAGGCCCCATGATGAGAACCCGCGTCATGTGCCTAAATATCCGTGACCTGAGGGGACTTACAGTGAACCCGGCCAACCAACCTTTATCATGATTCTCAAACAACCATGACAAATACTAACTATTCTTCACATTGATTCTGCAGCTTGTGCTTGTAAATCCGGTTGCCGGCGTAGCGGAGAAACTGTATCTATCAGATGCTTTGGAGAAACTTGGATCTGAATGTATTTATATGCGTGTTAGTGAGGCAGTTATAGCAATCTCCTGCAAGTTGAAAGACCAACCATAACGAAATGAAGTTTTCATAACGAGGATTAATGAATAGATTAAGGAGACTAATCTCATGTTTAATTGCAGCAGCTCTTCCAAGAAGAGGTTTTGGAGAAAAATTAAATGGAAAAATATGGCCAAGTTATTAGGAAGACCTTTCATGTAAAGCTTTTGGATCTGAAGTAGGATCATTGCTTCGTTTAAGATTTGTGCTGGAAATATGCCAATATTTATTCTTTAGAATTTTGTCAAAGAGCCTTCGAAATTCTTCAGTGCTTGAATAAAGCTTCCCTCGTTTAATTAAATAAATTAACCAAAAAAAATCGGCTAAATTAATCAAAAAAATAAAACTACAAAACACATGTAGAAAAGATAGAACCGATTGCACCCATTCCAAAAGCAATGGACACACTAAAGAAAAGTGTTATGTACAAAGGGAACAAACAAGTTCCTCCAAGGCTAAGAAATAAATGCAAATTGGGTTGGTCCTATAACACAATACATACACTGCTAGCAGCAAATATACAAAAGATGAGGTCGGTTTTCGTCGAAGTCTATAGGATTTCTTTTCTGGGCACCAAAACACAAGCACAAGAGAGAATGAAAGTCTATTAAACTTTGTAGGTATGCTTGAATGCAGTATTACTTCATAACAAAAGACATGTAACCAACACTAGTGTTACTCAACCCAATCACACCAAAATCAATATCAATCAAACCAGAGATGTGAAATAAAATTAAAAATTCACTTTATATGTTATACACTTTATTCTTGAATTTGATTATAATTTGGTTTCAATTTGCACCTTTATGAATGATAACATGCTACCTATCACATTCTTGTGTGATTGTTTCATGATTCAAG